CCCCGCCGGCGCCCCCGCCCCCCCTGCCCGCGCGCACGCTGGCCACGGACGAAACCTCGGGCCAGGTTGGGGATCCCACAGCTCGCCCGCCGCCTGCCTCCCGGACACCCCGGCCCGCGGCCCGCACAGGTGCACCGGCCGCCCTCTCGGCTCACCTGCCCGGCCCTGCTCTAGCCCAGACACCCTCTCACTTCTCTTGGGCCTGCATCCCACACCAGCTCAGAACCCGGGACCCCCACCCAGTTTCCCATCTCCACAACGGGCCGCGACTCTACAAAGAGCCCATCCCCCACCCCTAGGCCGACGCCACTCGGCAGTTCACACCGAGCCATGGCCTTTGTCTTCAGCTTACCTAGGCGCTTCGAGCATCAATTCCTACGACAAAGTTTGAGGACTTTAAGCCTCCTCCACCTTCTAAAGGGAGCCTTCTATTTTTATAACCTTTCCTGCTCCTATCATATAAAGCCCTAAAGGGCTACGTTACAACTTAAAAATCTCACCGAGGCAGCACAGTAGTAAAAAAACTCACACACACAGACACACACACACACATATATACATAAAATCGCAATGGATGCTTTTCTCTTCCCAGAGGTTTTCTGAAGGTAGAAAGACAGGCTGGCTAGATGCAATGGGGAATATAGGTTTTAGAAGACACTGTTCTTTCCATTTATAAGTAAAGAGAAATTTAATTGATTGGGGTGCTGATTAGGGAAGTTCTTTCAACTTTCCTATTGAAGGACATTTCCTGTCCCCTACAAATTCTGGTGAACTTTAGAAAGGGCTTTGCTCACTACTATCTCTGATACCCACTTAGCTGTGTCCTGCTCAATTCTATTGCTATCAATTATCATTTCAGTTCGGAGACCTTGGCACCCCTGCTGTTTGACTCATTATTGCATGTCAGACTAAAAGTTTGGAACCCTGGCTTCCTGATTCTTTACCTGCATCTACTAGAATAACTGTATATGTTAAGACCTATGTACACAGCCCAAAATAACCTCCCCCTGAGCACAACTTTTATAAAAACACACATTGACTTCACTTCTTGTCAACCCAACCTCTTCCTATAAAACATTCACTGAAAAGGTAGCTGCTTCCTTAATACCTAAAAAGTATAATGCCAGACAGCTTTGTCCACCTCATCTCTACAACCAACACCCGCACCATTTCTAGAGTACTGGTAAAAGATTCGTAAGAGTAACCCACACATACCTTCCAGAGTCATTCTTGTCCAGGCCACCCTTGATGGGGGCTTTTCCTTTACGTGTGGACTCAAAACCAACATGCCGTTTCCAACATGCAGTTAAGTAACCTTCCGTCTGCCAATTCAGGTTTCTCTTTCATTCTATCTCCTGGTGTATGTGCCTTTTCCAATTCTATGGGCAATGCCTACCTTCCAAATCAACCCATTTCCCAGAGCAGCATCTATAGGGTCCCACTACCATCACTTTTCCCCTTATTCTTTCCTGGATACACTGTCCCTCTCCACTTCTTCACCTTTACCATTAACCATAGCTCTGCTTTGCACTAACAGCCACTCTCTCAGCAAGATTCCCAGGGAGCTAAAGCTGATGTTAACTTTATACATAGAAGTACCGTTGGTAGCTTCCCACCTTTCATTTGTTTTACACCTACCATCTCTTTCTCAAGCATTTCCAAATGAGTTGTTTAACCTCCTTAGCATATATGGACAAACTGTGTCTAATGAAAAAAATCCCCTCTGTAATTTGCTGACACAAAGCAGACGATTTTATATTTGATGTCTGTGCCTTTATCCCCAAATATATTCATGTACACCAGGGATATGCAGCAAAATATGAAAATACTAATGACCTAAAGCACATATTCTACCTTTAGGTCAGGCCAAAAGCTGCCCCAGCTTGGACGGGGAGCCCAGAAGCTGGGGCAGGGGGGGTGGTGACTAAGGAAAGCCCCATCCAAAGTGGCAAGGGTAGAAGCCAAAATTCTGGGGGAGAACCAGCACAGGGCTAATCAAGGAGAGCCAGTCAGGACTCCTGGGAAGCTGAGACGCAATCAAACTAACCCTCTGAAAATGAAAACAATCTTGCCAAGACATCTTGCCACTTAACTCTACACCTCTGCGCTGTTTACAATAAGCTTAAGTCATTCCTTCAACCTCCTATGGTCAGGTCACCAAAGCACTTTACCAACTTTCCAAATTTCAAGTCAGGGAGAGTGACAGGACAAACTTTCAAACTCTGGGAGTTTTGGCTCGCTTCTCAGTGGAGAGATCTAAAGCCTCATGTTCCATTTTATTTTACATTCTTTAAGACAGATATCTCTCTCTAGCCTACCATTTGGATTCCTTACTATCTTTCTGGTTTGCCACTCTAAAGTTTAATGACTGTACACCTGACAGCAGAAGGATTTATGAAAAGGTATGAGGGTTCCCAGGAATCTGCTAGAGATTACTTTAAGGGTCGTGGGATCAGAGGATACTGCTACTGAAAAAAGATTAAGGTAAAAAGTAGCTTCTTCCAGAGACGTAAGAGGAAGAGAGGAAAAGAAAAAGAGCCACTGCTTGAATTCATCTTGAAAACAAAAACCAAAAAACAACTGTACAGCCTAAGAGAAGAGAAAATAGCATGAAAAAAATTTGAGTTCCCCTGAAATTTGGTAAACTGAAGTTCTGAAAGAGAACAACAAAGAATCCCCAAAATAGCCTAAATAACCATTTTACATCGTTTATTGATTCATCCACTTGCCTCAACTCTCTAAATCAGAAACATCTCTTTAAATTCCATCCGAAAACATCTATCTCCACCCATTACATGTTTTACTCTGCTAATGTGAGTTGGTTATTCCAAATGCAATTTGTGAAACAGATCATATGTGCAACAGGTGAGAAGGAAGTAAGATGGTAATAGAATTCGCTGTGATAGAGCTGTCCGGGCAGGTATTGGTAATAAAGTGGGATGCCAGCCTTGGGGAGGGTCACAGATTAGTGATTATAATAGGACAAGTCATCTGAAATCACATTTGGGGGTCGCTAATAATACTAACGAGGATTCTTACAAACTGCAGCAAGACGTGGGAAAGGCAAGCCGCAACAGCTGCATGTGGACCATGCTTAAAAGAGAAAACAGAAGAAGCAACAGAGAAAAACCATTAGGGCTTCCAAGGCCCTCTTTTTCCTTTTTAAAAACACATAACCCATGGGGAGCGCTGAAGCTACCCTCCTTGGAGGCAGACCAAATGCAGCAAGAGGCAGTCCGTTCGGGAAATGGGAAGCCTGCTGGCGCTGGGGGCGGGGGTGCGGTACCTCTTGGCGCTGGTGGAGAGGAGTTTGGAGTTTTTGCTCATGCTGACTTTACTCTCCTTCTTCCTGGGGGTGTTTGTTTCCTTCTCGGTTTGCTGGTTGGAGGACGAAGATGAGGAGGAGCTGGTGCTGGCCCTCGAATCGTCATCCGACATAGCGAACCCCCCACCCCACCCCGCAAACAGCCCCTGCAGCGGGGGAGGGAAACAAAACAGAAACACAAAAACCATGCAGCCAGTGTACAGAAGGAACTCGGGCGCTGTCAGGAGGGCTTTGGTCCGGGGTGCGTCCGGCCGCCCACCGCCCTCCACTCGCTTTCCAAAGTCTTCAGGCCCAACACGGCTTTTGCAAATCGGACGCTGCTTGTTTATCTCTGGCCCCAAGCGGGGGACGCGGTGGGAAAACGGTCGGGGGGCGTAGCGAGCAGCCCCTCCCTCGCCCCCCGGGGCTCCCCTCGGGGCAGGGAGGGGAGCAGCCGGCCGGGCGGGGGCGCGGGGCGCCCGGCCGGAGCGGGCAGGGAAGGTCCCGGCGGCCGGCCGGCCGGCCTCGGGCTGTTTTTTCGGCGGCTTTCCGGGGGTCGCGGGGGACCGGGGGGCCGGGAGCGGAGTTTGGCGAGGTCGGGAAGAGAGGAGGGCGGAGAGGAAGCCGAAAGGGGGTGGGGGCACGGAGACGGGGAGCGGGTGCCCGGGTGGGGGAAGGGAGAGGCCAGCGGGGGGGCCGAGGCGGCGAGGCCCGAGGCCCCCGCCGCGCCCCGACGCCCCTCCGCGCCGCCCTCCCCCCCGCCGTC